ATGGAGATGTTGAGAGCAGTGTCGAGGTCAAAATAGAGAATTCCGGTTGAGATTGTAACCCCATAAAGATGTATAAGAGCACTATTGATGACACTCAGCAATATCATTCAGTCTCTAGCCATTAATCCCAGTGATCCTCGGATCCCATACGCGACCTACATGAACAAATCCCCTGCTCAGGGTTTTCATACCCTCAAATCAGGTACTAGTTTGATAACATTTGACCCAGCAAACATTGCACACCGTGCCAATCTACTCGGTGGCATTCGTAACAAATACACCAATCGACGTGATCTACGTAGATTGACCACTTTACCTAGTGGAAGACCGGGATTGCCTAAAACTCTGCGCCTAACCTTAGTATTGGTTGTCCGACCGAACCACCAGATTGGTGCAACGTGGCGCAGAAAGCGGGTGTTCTAATGAGGAAATTATTTTTCCCGTGGTGGTGAAGTTTCTGCACCGTATTGCAGCACTGGTCGAACAGCTGCAGCACCAGACCATACACATAAAGCCAGATGTTTCAGATTTCAAAATACAAGAGCCTTCTGTATGCTGACCGGAACTGCATTCGCGATGCATGCGCTAGGTGAGATGGCTGCCAAAATAGCAGAGCTTGCCTAGTTTCTCTATTATTTTTCAGTCAAACTGAGATTGGGAGTTACACCAACCCATTACGGTTACAAAATTATACACTTTCAAAGTGAAAAACACGTACCGAACATGGCTACTCAAACTATACAGAAAAGCTTGCAACTTACCTGTATTTTCACCTGGCAGTACAATGTCGTCAACATACTCCAGATCAGACAATCTACCATCTGGGAGAAAATTGATGCCACTATCCTCGCACGAAGACAGGACTATTTTCACAATTAAATCTATGCCAAAGTTAAAAAGAGGGAGGGAGCAAACCTCACGGACATCATTTCGGGTGAAAGTGTCGTAAGCTTGAACGCGGTTTCGGTTACCAGTATAAGGGGATCGTATTATTGAAACCAACTCCGACACATCTATCCTGGTTCTCATGTGCGGTAGATTATCGACCGAATAAGATGCCGGCGAGAAGTTTGGCGATAATGTTGATCAAGCTAATTCCTCTGTGGTTTTCACAAGAGGACCTATCATCCTTCATGTAAATCGGTAGAATGGCTCAATTACCATTCAGTCGGAACCTGTTCACTCTTCCATACTGAACTCAGGAGTTTGGTCAATTAAAAAGCCAACACTGAAACCCCATCCTTAAAAGCCAATCAGGAAAACCTATCTGGAGTAGAGCCAGTATACCTTTTGTTCAACTTATTTTCCACGTAATTTCTCTGGTAGAAATGTTATTTGTATTAACTGGTAGTAGTTGCCCAGTTGAACCATAAGGGGGAAACCTTAAAATCGATGGAGGCCAGTTGAATTGCACCTTAAAATGTTCCACTCGTCGCTCAAAACGATGTAGCTGAATGCGGATCAGCGTGGTGTTGGGATCCCTGGCTTTCTTAATTATGTCTACTTTCTCTGTGCCAGTGCTCTTAATTAGACGGAAAAGATGGCGACCGTTATCCATAGCCTTAGTCTTGTCGTAAACATTCCCTAGACTCTAGGTGAGTTGACGCTCAAGCGATTTGTGCGCTATCAAATTTGGCATGTGGAGGAATGATTGTACGATTGTACAACAAGACAGCTGGAGTCGAGATCTATCGTTTATCATTTGATTGCGCGGTATGGGGTAGTGGTCGATTTTCGAGTAAATATGGAAACCAGCCTCCATGATATAGGAATTGGCATTTCAGTGCCGATTTCGAAAGATCGGCACAAGCAAAATATTGTTTCGGTTGTGCAGGTAGGCACCAGAGCGTAAGGGAAAAGACGAAACTAATTATTTTAGGCAAAATTATACGGAAGATTTTTCTGAAGGATAAATTAGAAGTCAACCACACAGTTCAGAAGATCGAACCTGTCATAGATAAGAGTACCCGACACTCAATAGGCAGCTTCGCCACCACCCCGCTCGATGCCAAGCCCCGATGGGACTTTATGTGGTTCTTCTTCTCCTATTCTTCATCCCAATGGGCAGCCAAAAGACAGCAACCAAAACCGGCGCACGAAAGTGCATGGTTATTGGTTGTTCAAACTGAAACTGAAACTATGTGGTTCGCCACTCCAAGTCCCGAGGATTTGGTTGCCAATTTCCATAAATGAAGAAAAGGTCCTCGTGACTGTGGGGTTTAAGCTGTTCATTGCTCATCACAAGGGTGTGTAATGAGAAAAATCTACCACTGTTTACTTATCACGACATTCAATGGGTCAACTAGCCTATGAAAAATTATTAGGGAACATGAGTCGCATTTGTGAGATACACCTCATTCCACAATTGCAGTGTGCAAACTGACAGTTATCAATATATAAACTTAGACTCCTTCGGATCATCGAATTTGTTCACGATGGATAAGTAAAACAGTATTCGTGAGCAGATGACATGGTTAGCAGGTACTGCATCTGTGCAACAAAATACGGAGCTAACATGAGGGTCGGAAATGGAATAAATCGATAATAACGAACGAACGATACTAGATGAAGACGCTTTAGCAACCATTCAACCGAACAAATAAGAAATGTTTGCCTGATGATCACCGGCGTTGAAATCTATGGTATCATACATTTTGACGAATACTTTGGGCACATATTTTTTTAATTCACATCTCCGAAATCCCCATTCGATTGTTTTAAAATTGCTTTGAACCTTTATGAAAATGGCAGTGTTATAAACTGAATCTACAGTGGTAAAGCAAAGGTGACTTCATGACGAAACGGCATCCAGGCGACAACTGGTCTCTGTCCCAAACAATAAAACACAACCGCGTAACAAAAAAGCCATTGCTGACAATTTGGGAGAGTGAACTAACCTTCACCGGTACGATATTCCGCATCACTGCAGCTGCCAACGTCAAGTGAAAGACGTGAAGGTGTAGACTGCACACGTGAACCCTGTTAAAGGGAAATAAGCACGCACATTTACTCCATTGCATCATTACCTTGGTAGATATGGGGCAGACTATTTGTGGAAAATGGAGTAGATGCATCAGTGATAGAGAACGACAAAAACAACTGCACTATTACTGACATCAAGTGACTCTCTCAAGTGAGGTCGTGAGTTCAAAGCCCAGAACCACCGCTGCCCAACTTTCCCACATTCTTTGTGTACCCAGGCAGCAACTGAACTATAGCCACTCACTTCACTAAAACTGATAGTACATTTGTATCCAATACAAAGGAAATGAGTAAGATTTTCTTGCACCACAGTGGTGAAACGCACGTCACTGTGGTCAGATACCGCAACGTGCTGCACTAGATACTGTAAAATTATACCGCCTGAGAAACTAGGGACAGTCAAGCCGAGGACTGATGAAAATTCATACAAAAAGAAATTCTCTCGTCTTGTGGCACTGGTACTATGGGCTAAGAACCGTATTGTAAAGATCTGAATCTTTGCTAACTATCATTGACATCCGCCTTTAATACCGGTTGAAAAGGGGCATAACAAAACTCATTGGCAGTCCGCGACAGAGGTGGAAGAGCATCTTTTTTGGAACACGTCCCTAAAATTATTCAATTTCTTTCGAACTAAAGGCAGGCAACGAAAAAGGTGACAGTAAAGCTATTTCGGTTTCTGTTAATAAAATCGTTATTCTTGCGCTTTTTCCGTGGCTATATTTTGGTTAACCCGTAAAAACAGGAACAATATCAAACAAAAACCGGGGAGCAAGGCCAATAAGAAGACATACAATGCAAGTATATCAGATATGCACAATAAGTAAGTGTGTGCTTAGAGGACTCACGTTGTTTGGGTGGGTCCCGAGGTCCCAAATGGGAATGCTGAGGCGAACTTCATAATAAAGTGCCCTGGTTAGGAATTTTATACCCTAACGCTGAACCACAGTTTCACCACTAACTGTACGGTTCCAGCAGTTAGATACCACGGAAAACATAACAGGTAAGTCTAGCCAGAGTCACAGACCCTAGCTACCACAATCTATTGAGGTCAAGCATTTGCGTCAGCAAGTGCAGTCTCAACGTGGGAAAGTGTGAGGCGGAAATCGGTGCTTTTAGCTTAGCACTTTATAT